TAAACCCATCTCTAATAGACAAGGCCTTCCATTCATAAGAAACGAACGAAAAAATTAAACACAAAATTTTGGTTCAATGATTTTAACTTCCGCCGCCGCGCCGCGCCGACCGCACCGTGTTTGGCGCAAGGCGTGAAGTATTCACGCAGTCTTGTAGGCGCTTTGCGTTTCACGCTGACCGCACTGTGTTTGGCGCAATGCGTGAAGTATTCATGCATTCTTGTAGGCGCTATCCGTTTCACGCTGACCACAATAAGCGCACTGTGTTTGATGCAATGCGTGAAGTATTCGTGCAGTCTTGTAGGCGCTAATATGTGTTACATGCCGACCGCCGCGCCGCGCGCCGAGGGCTTCTCCTTTTCATCTCAAGTCCTCGTCATCATTTCTCCCTAAGTCGCGCCGTTCCAGGCCAAATTGTGTGTTTGGTTTCTCTCTTAACTCGACTAGTTAAAGGTGCTGTCTCTTGTATCACTGAAAGACAACAATATTAGAAATTACTATACCCTCAGGAAATGAGAGATTTTGTAGCCTTTTCTCGTTTGTATTTTTTTTCTAAATCCGATTTTTTTTATACCTACATTTAAAAAAATTGCAAAATTTGCCGCCCCCTAGATTTTCCGCCATGGGCCGCAGCCCATGTGGCCCTTTAATCCGGCCCTGACGTAACCCCTGCAACAGATCCTCCATATTGGATCCGTTGTTGAATGTCATTGACGTATAATACAATCTAGACCGCGCATTAGGAAATTTCGGCGAGACTAGAGTCCCTTCAGGCGAGACGATAGGCAACTCAGCAACACCCAGCAAGTGTACCGGCAATACGTACCGAGACAATGCAAATGCCAGTCTTGCCAGTGCCGTTGCCTGATAAGGGTACACTTGGCTCGTATATCCGGCGGTATCAACTAAGCTGAAGGCGCGTCTTTGCCCTGATTTACCCCGCTAGCTGTCTTACCTCCCCCGCCTAAAGTCGGGCCTGGTGCGCGGTCTAGATTGTGTTATAAGTCGATGTTGAATGAACGTTTCATGCATAGAGAAAAAAAAGGAGGTGTTTGCATTTCGGGCATCTTGGAATTTTTTTGATGACGTAGGTCGGTACAGCGACTTTTATCATCGATTTTCTTGGAAATGGTGTAATTTATGGGAAAAAGTCGTTCTATAAAAAGTGCTTGAAATTATATCATGAGTTGATTTAAACAAAAAAAAATCGGACGTTATGTTCTGTTTTTCGTACTTCGAATTCCGGATTTCGCTGGCCAGGTTGTACCGACCTACGTCGCGTCACAGGGTAAACAAACGTCAAGATGCAAACACATCCTTTTTTTCTCTATGCGTTTCATGTAGCTTAGCACATAGAGAAAATAAAGAAGGTGGTGGCAAGCGGAGAAATGTACTTTTCTACGTCACAGCTAAAAATGAAGCCGCTCTTCTGATTGGTCAAGAGGATCGCGAGAAAACCGAGACCTCTTTGAAATTTAAAAAGGAGCGGGAAAGGTTGTGAGGTTCCCACTTGTTTTGGCTCTAAAAACTCGTAACTATGACTTTTTAGGTTTCGATATGTTTTTCTATCAATGTTCGACTGTAACTGAAAATAATTTGTAAGTTAAAAATATATATTTCATTTAATAACAAATTTTATCTCGACTCGTCCCGTTTTAAAGGTATAACCATGTTAAACTACGTTCTGTGTGCAAAAAAGCAAAAATTGGGAAGGAACTATGACTAATGCAGTGGCGTGCGGTGGGTTCAGAGACAGGGCAAGCTCTAGCATTCGTCATCCGGGGGGGGGGGGTGGTTTAACGTAGCCTCTTTCCCTTCCCCCTCCCCCCAACCTCCGTAGAAAATTCTTAAAATTTTACTCTATTTGCTCTATTTTTCGGATGAAATCTGATGGAATGTCTTGAAAAACTGTGGTTTTATTTCTCTCTCTCGTATTTATGATTTCATTTACTCAACTTGTTTCGAATGTTATTGATCATTGAAGGACGGCTCCATACTCTTAACTCCTAATTTTGCCACTTATTTGAGGTATTTTAGTCTTTATTCTACAGCATTTAGAATTTTTTGAGTTACTTAAATTTCCCCCAAAAAAAAGAGGGCTTTCTGCATTTAAAACAGGATTGAGAATTATCTAATTCATCACCAATTTGATCCAAGTGAGCGAAATTTTATAGAATATAAAGGCATTTGCTCCGGATGAGCAATTACAGCCGCGACGGAAAGAGGGAACAAGATAGCGCATCGGAGGCAGAAGCAGCGCGCTGCGGTGACGGGCCAAGAGGTGGCCAAGAGAAGCGAGCTGCGATCGCGCAGCGAAGGGCTCGGACTCGGAACGTACCGCGCTCCCCGCCCGCCTTGATTCCGCCGCCGAGCAGTGGCGCTCCGCTCAGCTGATCGCAAGCGATTCTCCAGCGCATGCATGAGTTGGCCCGTGTTCAGGCCGCGCAGCGCGCTGCGCCACCTCCATCCGCTCTGCCGCTTTCCTACTTCGGTGGCTTTATACGTATTTCTGTCTCCCTCTCTTTCTGTTTTTAATGCAATTTACTTACTGAGCACATTTTATAAATTATATTTGCTAAAATGTAAAACATTTAATAGGTGTAATTTTCTTCTTTCTTTTGAAATCTTTGGGCAAGCAGTGCTTGCCTTGCTTATCCGGACCGCACGCCACTGGACTAATGTTCAATTATATGACTTTCAATGTTAGTCTGTGCGGTGATGTAGGTCCTTAGATAGGTTCCATCATGAAATGCATGAAATGTACTTTTTTTTAACAGCGCCGCGCCAGTCCGTGTACTTTTCTACGTCACAGCAAATCTTCAAGATGGCTGCCTTGCCACCACCTTGGCAAAACAGTTCAAATAGAAAATGATCACAAACCCCTTGAAAGTGTATTCAAAAAGCCTCTTGACAAATGTCCCCTCCACCTTCAACGCATGCGACTGAGGTTACAAAATTTTGACATAGTAGTTACGTATAAACCAGGCAAACAACTTCTAATTGCTGATACTTTATCTAGAGCATATGATCCCATTGATGTTAATTGTATCATCTTAGATTTAATGGAGCAGAACTATTTAAACGATGAAGAAATTGAAATTGAAATATCCATGATCAAAGAAAATCTACACAAAAGGATCTATCACAAAGGATGAAAAGTATGCACTTTTTCAGTCTGAAACTGAGAAAAATGAAACCCTTAGCTTGATAAAATCATTTATCATGAATGGTTGGCCCGAACACTCAAAAGAAGCCCCTGATTGTATAAAACCATACTGGCCAATCAAAGATGAACTATGTGTTTTTGATGAGTTAGTCTGTATAAATATGCAAATTGTTGTTCCCAGCTCTCTACGTAAAGAAATGTTACGAAAAATTCATTTACCCCATCTAGGCATAGAAAGATTAAGCCTGAGATACGCGAAAAAAGTTCTACTGTTTTAGGTGACTTCCCGGTTTTTTTTTCGAATAAAGTCTCTTGCTGGCAGATAGACGATATGTTCAACTATACGTTTATACAGCTAATTCAAAATCGAGATATGCTTTTGCACTTTCACCATCGATTTGTATGCATTCGCCAGCTATCGTTAAAAAGGGAAGAGTAGTAAGAATAGAAACCTTTGAGCGAGCATTTTCTTGCTCCTCTCACAAAAATTTAAAAAAAGAAAAGTTTGATGTGATAGTAATTTGATGAGATAAAAAATAAAAAGGTGAGAATTGCACGAGCTGAATAGCATTTTAACTTATCAAAATTTTAAGTGAAAACATGTTCTCATATTTTAGGATGTATGTAGGTATGTTACATTGAATATTCCAAGGAATTCAATTGTAATTTTTGTCGAATTACAAGGAAAATATCTATAAAATTGCAAGAGATGAAAAATCCCCTTACTGTATGAGTCGATGGTTAAGCTCTAAGATCACTTATCTGCGTTGCATCTTTTCAAAATTCCCGTGCCTAAATATTTCATTTATTAGGAAGGAAATTAATCAAAATGAACATTAGGTATGTCTTGAAATTTTCAGGAAAGCCGAGGGAAACCTCATAAGATGTGAGAGAAAAATTGAGGCTATGACGCTGATTTCCGTTTCTTTCAAAGAATAAAATATGTACAGAAATTTTGAAATATTTCAAATGAGGAAGGTGATCTTTGACTTCCGATTAAAATGCTTGGTCTTAGACACGGACCATCGCAGCGTCAGCTCACATAATATGGGATACTTTCAGGGGACAGAGCCCTTAAGATGTTTCCCAAAAATTGTTCAAAGAAACCAAAAATGTGAATTAGGAACAATTTTTATTCTTATTTTTAGGATGAAGGACAGGTACCTATAAAATTGAAATCCATTCAAGCTGGATCAGACAACTCTACAAATCGGCTCAAAGCCACCGTAAATCATCGGTAAAGGGGCCTTGGTTCTTTCTCCGTTCCTCCCTATTGATAGCCGAAGGGCGAAACGATGTATCTCCATTGCAATGTTTCAAAATTTCCACTCCTACTTAATCTTTCCAATAAAAACAGCCCAACTTTTTAGCTTGAAATTTATGCAGAATATTATGCTACTGGCAAAAAAAAATCAAGAACATTTTCAAGAAAATACTTAGACTAGTTTTCCAAAGAAAAATAAAGTACAACAGGAAGTCTGGAACGTCGCAAATGGAGATACATGTTATCACATTTCGGTCAAAATACTTAGAGCATGTATTGTAGTGCGTAGTTTCAAACTCTCCATATTTTGATGAATTTCCGCTAAAATCTTCACAATTTGTTCTAATGCTCCTACAATGTATATCGAGAAGTTTTTCTGTCGCATGATAAACATCCTTTTTTAAAAAGCATTGGCAGAGGTCTGAGACTTAGTTATTCTAAAATAATAAATTTTAACCAGGAAATGAATTAATTCCTCTTAAATATGGATATAATATGGAATATGGATGAATACTTTTTGAATTGTATGTTTCTGACAGAGGCACTTGATGATGCATATTATTGAGAATATAAAAGTGCAAAAATAGGATTTTATTTTTAACAAAAATACAAAAACACTTCTTTTAGTAGTGCTAATAACTGAATCAATATTTCTCTTAATCTAGAGATAAAATTATCCATCTGAAACAAATGCTTAAAAATATATAACAAGTGTAAAACAAGATAAAAATGAGAAGAATGGTAAAGATAAAATGCAATTAAATAGGATGGCCCCCATAAATAGTGACAAATAGGATTGATAAAGTAATATGAATAGTACTTTGCATGTAAATGTTCCTTGACACACTGAGTTTTTACTTAACTGCTTTTATAAGTTCCTTCGTGAGGCGAATAGACTGATCTTTGTAACCACTTCCAAAATGATTCCTAAAACACACAGAAGAGAAAAATCTTTTAGTATGGAAAGGTCCTTTTTCCTACGCAAGCTCCTTCCAGCAGACTTTCATGGAACTTGAAAATGTTAAAGCCCCTTTCAAATATGTTCAACCTTTTCAGCTGCTTGCACATATTGCAGTTATGGTATATGTGCAAGTATATGAAAAGGATGGACTCATTAAAACTGGAGCTTCTCCCTGCAAAAAACTTATTGGGTACTCAGAGATTCCATGATCCAAAAATCAACCTTGAACTACCTAAAATTATAAAATTCAGGCTTCAGGATAAATTATTAAAATAATGTATCTGACTTTTTCTAAACTTTCAAAGTTAGTCAGGTACAAACTTCAGCTAGAGCAATAAAAAGATTCGTTCCTCATAAAAATTGCCTCAGAAGTACCGATGAATACAATGGCAAAGTCTGATATTTACTTTTCGCATCAAAATTTGCGTATTTTTGGACTCCATTCTTTGAAAAACACTTTAATTCAAAGACATGATGGGTCACTGGACAAGGTCTGAACTATGAAAAAATGTTGCATGTTTTCCTTTCAAAATCTTAGACAGAAAACAATTCACACTTCAAAAAGAGCAGAAATCAACTCCTGAACAAGATGTTGAGTATTTTTATTTTAGATCAAATGGATCGCATTTAGCAAACAGGGACTAGCGCGATTACAGTGTTGTAAACAAGTTGCTTTTTCATAAGTATCCACAAAGTCTCTTAGAACGGCAAATAGTTCTTGCTTCCGACCAAAAATAGTTAATTTTAAAGGAAAATAAAAGTGCAAATTTTAATACTGTACATATATTAAGTATTTTCGAAAGAAAAAAAGAAGTTGCACGATTTTGAAAACACTGTAATAGCACTGGTTCCTTTTTGCTAAATGCGATCCAAATGGTAGTAAGATTATATAAATGACATCATTTTCATCATAATTTTTTATATAACATTTAACCAGTGTCCATGGTAAACACTTATCCTTGTCAAGGAGTTGATTTCCTTACTATCCATTGTGTGATTTGTTTTCCTTGTAAAATATTGAGGAGAGAATTCTACTTAGCGCTTTGATCCATACCCTGTCTAAAGACTTATGAATCACCCTGGCCTCAAAATTTAATGCAAAACTGAAAAAGAACAATTTTATATAATTCAGTTACCTTCTTTACCTGTCCGCATTTTGCAATTTTAAAATCTAAATTAGAATCTGACCTTGCCGTTAATCAAATCTTCCCTGAAAATATAGTTCCACTCATGCTTAAATCCCCAGATAACTGGAAAATAATTCGTCAATACATAACTAGTATTCTCAAAAAAAAAAAAAAATTGCTCACTTAAAATCCAATTAACAATTATCTAATTCTGCTTCATCTACACCCTTTCAGTTTAATGTACCAACGACCAGCAACTCTCCTATGTTGCCCCCTCCTCAGCACAGACGATGTGCTGCAGCAGCCGACCCAATGTCCCTCGGGATGGATTCCAGCAGTAACCGTGCAGGCAGACTAACGTGAGGATGTTATGTTTAGTCAGGTCGGCTCGATTTCAGCCCCGCCCTTTGCTCTTAATTTAAAATTCACCTTTCTTACTTGCTACCTGTTTTGTTTAATGTTTCTGATAGAAGCAGCTTGTAAAAATCTTCGTTTAATGTTTTCTGTAAATAAATGTTAAAAAAAAAAAAAAAAAAAAAAAAAAAAAAAATGATGCAGTTTCTAAATGCAAAGCAAATAGCAAAAACACTGTTTCTCATCAAACGAAACTAGGAAAACAGGGAAATGAAGATGTTGGATGAGAGATGAAAGTGATATTCTTCATCTTTCTTTGAGGAACTGCACCAGAAAGCAAGCACTTCAAGATGCACAGATTGCTGCTGCATTGCAAGATGGACTTCTGGAGTTTTGCAAGGAGTTAAGATGTAAATTATGTCTTCACTGTGGTATACTTTGAGTAGGAGGAAGCTTAAAAATGCGCAAAGGACCCTGCATGGAAAATGAAGGAATCCAGCACCAGCTTAATTTCATTATTATTTGATATGATTTCTTGACAAGCTACTTGGTACAGTAGGCTTCAAAAATCTAACACTCTGAGTGCAGATTTCAAGAAAGCAGGGGTGAAAAGTGAATTTTTGTGGAATTTTTAAACACAATACCTTTCAGAGATGTTGCAATATCTGATTGGTGATTGCAGAGCTTTAGTTTCCTTGTCATCTGGGAAGATAAGACAGGTAAACAGAACCAAATTCCAACGAATTATGATAGCATAAATATCATTCAGTGCGCCCTCCATGCAAATCTAGCAACAGTCCCATATTTCAATAAAAAAACACATTTATGAGTGCTGCAGAATTTACTTTTCAACCCTGCTTTCCTCAACGTTGGCATACGGAAAGTTCAGTTTTAAAAGCTGACCATGCTCACCGCATTGCATATAACATCATACTGAGTAATAAAAAATTAAGCCAGCACTGAATTCCTGGGTTTTTCATGCAGGGTCTTTTTTTACACAAATTGTGAAGGAAAGTATGAATTTTAGACTTTGTTTTTAGAAGCGGCAATTTTGAGACATTGCAATGCAGATAAGTGGTTTTGCACTTTGGCCATCGATATGAGTATGCTTGAACTAGAAAAAATTAAAGAGAAAACATAACCTACCAGTGATTCAGATAATGAAACAGTTGATACAATTTATGACGGTTTTCGAAGCCCGGTTCCTTGGGGATTACTGCATGGTAAGCATCATAGAAACTTGAATTGAAACCTCCGAACATATCTGTTATTCCGAGATCGTACTCATGGTGACCATAAAAGCAAGCTGGATCAAATATAACTGCATGGAAACAGAAATAAAGAAAGCAGATTTGATAAAAATGAATGGCTAGACATGTTTCATTTGTTGCCAGAAAATATGGAATGTAATGAATTCAAAAGTAAAAGCTGAGAGAAAAAGTCAATTTAAAAATCTTTGAGTTTAATCAACACAAAAATTTTAATGCTTTTTAGTACATATTGATAGTGAAATTACAAACATGCATATCCCAGTTGCATTGTTTCAAAATCTTTGCTTCAATTTTATTTTTTAAAAGAAGACCGAGCCAACATCATGGGTTGAAATTTTCACACAACATTCTTCACTTAAAGAAGAAAAATTACTGAAGTTTTCGACAAATGGTTTTGAGAAGTTTTTCTACCTGGAAAATATAGTATGACAGGAGGTCTGTAAAATTGCGAACTGAGATACATATTTCAGTAGTTCCTCTATTGATATGTGACTGTTCATGAAATCCTCAGGCAAATTTTTTGAAAAAGGACCCAGCCAAGTTGGGTCGAAAAATTAAAGTTCACCTTTCATTGGAAAATTGCTCTAGAATCCTCACTAGTAGCTTGAAAGCTTATGAGTTCATTTTTAAGCCAACAGAAACCACGAATTTAGACTATGATCCAACAAATTTTAAGCCCCACACAAGGGAGGATTAACTCTTGTAGCCTTAAAACTTAAACTTCTTTTTTTTGAGCTGCAAGTGTTGAAATACCATGATTCCTGTTTGGTTTTGCATTCTTTCGAGATATTCTGTGGCAAAATATTTGCAAGACACTTCTCTGGTACCAATATATTAATTTTGAGTTATTTGGTGCTGAAATTGCTTATATCGCTTACAACTTTTGACAAGAACTACATTCGATGCTGAAAAAATACAAAATATGATTCAAAATTTCTGACAGATGAGTGCAGTTTTAAACCTTCAGCAACAAATAAATGAAAATTCAATTTAAACTTCGATGAAAATTTTACAGTTGGGTTAATGCCTGAATTATTTAGTGGGCACTTTTAGTGGGCTATCTTGCAAAGATCCAAAATCAATTATATTTGGGCCAAATTTGAGCACAAACGAAGACGTGGCTGTAGAAATCAATTTCTGTTCACTATTTTCGGATTTCACTATAAGTCTCAGTCAAAACTAGTTCTTACGAACGTGCAGTTGTAAAACACCTTTCGATTCATCCTCCTACTTCTTTCAGTTGAAGGACGTTACACACACAATATTAGCAATGGCGAAACGAATTTTCATGATACGAACACAGATTTGAGCTCCTGAATACACATGCTTGTTGTGGTGGTGGAAGTCAAGCAATTTGTTAACTTATGGATTTTAGTTGTATAAAAATTTGTCTCCTGAACACTGTCTTGTTGGCTGTCTCTATGATAATTATGAATGATCATTAATGATTGTGTTGCTTTACCAATTCCAGACATCACCTACGGAAACCTAACTCTTTGGATTTTTGGATTAGGATGCAACTACCTGCCCTCTTTTGAGAAAAATAAACAGACAAAATTTGAAAAAATGCATCAAGTTGCGTTTTGGGGGTAAAATGAGTTTGAAAGTAGTTTTTAATTCAACTAGTCGTAAGTTTTCTCCGGCCAAAAATCAAATTAGAGAAACAATATTTTGAACATGAAAATAATTGTTAAATACATATTATCCATAACATTGAGTTTTGTGGAAGAATCAAACTTTTTCTTCATTCAGACACTATGCGAGTGGGAGCATTTCTGTTAAATTCTTTCCAAATTAGACCACTGCTATGAATTTGTAGGATACTGAAGCAATGATTAAATTTTTTGGTCAGAGCTTCAGTTTTTTTATTTTCGACTCATTGAAACTCAATGAAAAATACTTCCCTAAATAAGTAGTCCTTTGGATGCCATGGTGCCTTTCATTTGCAAAGGCTCTCTCTTTTTCCGTAGAAGTATTCATAAACTGACACGCATTTTTAAATTTGATTGCCTTCAGAGATGTTTTGCATGCATAACATTCTTTTTGGATTGGAACTGATCGTGTCTCACCTGGCACCTTTTGGGAATCATTAGTCTGCGCCACGTTTCCACTCCACAAGTCTCCATGGAGAAGAGCAGGAATAATTTCAGAGATGCCAGCAAAAAAATATGGAATCCTGTGTTTTAGTTCATGCCATAGTTCATACTCAGCATCTCCACCCAGTCCCTGGAAGAAAGAACAATTTTAATGCAATAATTGCACAGAAATAGTCTTGATGCAATTTTGACTTTAAGTATAGTTCATTCATGCAGCAGCAATTTCCAGTTTCATGATCTATTCTGGGCTATAGGATTGTGAGAAAAACAGATGTTGCTGACGTTTTCTGCTAAATCAACTCCTGAGCTACCGCCGATTTTTAGCTACTGCATTTAAATTTAAAAGCAAAAATTCTCTCCCTAGTACTCAATTTTCTGTTTTGCCCGATGTGAAATTTCGGTCGTCAACCTAAAACTTAAAACACGATGGCCATTTTGGCTTTATCAGCCATCATCAGGTGATTATAAAAAACGAAGAACGAACTAAAATATGGCCATCGTTTTTTAAGTTTTAAGTTGACATCGAAATTTCACATTGGGCGAAAAAGGAAAAGTGAGTACTATGCTGATACAACCCAATAAAGGAGGATACAGAAACATAATTATTTTCCTCGTTATAAAAGTTTGAACTTCAATAAATGAGGCATAATTTGTGAAATGGGCGGATGTTGACTATTGCAAAAATTGTGCTTAAAATTTTCAAAGTATCGCAGTTTAACACCTTTTGAAAACAAGGTATTTGGCTTGGGAGCTTATTTTGAAAACGACCCCCTAAAATAGATTTAAATTCATTAAAATGGTATTAAAAAAAAAAAAAAACAATCTTTTATTTTCTGGATAGCTTTTTGTCACAAATGAAAGAAGCATTTTACGAAGACTTACTTGATGCAAAATGATTAAAATCATTGAAAATATTACGCCTACTCAATTTGCAAAAAGTTTTGAGAAGAAGAAACAAAATCAATGAGAAAGGAAATAAATTAAATTACTGCTGTAAAATAAATAGTGACATAAGGCACTAATTTTCTTACAATGCGGGGAAAAAAATCTCTCAGAGTTGAAAAGGCAGAAGAGTCCCTGACAGACAATTTGTGTCTAAGATGCGGTGAACCCTTCCTCCTAGATGGTTCCAGGGCATTTTGAATTTTAAATATTCCACCATATTTACACATAACTTGGTTTTTGGCTGATAGTTTACTCTAGGATTGAGATCTAAGTCTAAAACTTGGGGCCAACACTGCTGAAGGTTTGAAGATTGAAAGAAGCTATTGTCTTGACAAGAAACACAAATCAACATCCATCTCTTTGAAAAGTACTGCCTTAAATTTTGATTTTAAGATTTGAGTGGCCTATTCAGTTCTTTGTTCAAGTTTCACCTCTACCGCAACATGAGGAAAATTAAGCAATGATGTGATGATTACATCATGGTGTTTTTCCTCTGACTTGAAAGTATATTTCAATTGTATAAGTGTAGCTTGGAAAGAAGATGGATTTAATTGTTCCAATTTTTTTTCTCAATTTGAAACTTCCAATGCTTTTCTGTGTGAACTAAGTTTCTTGTAAGAGCTTCTTGTAGAGTTTGATGCATATAGTCTGAGTAGTTTTCGTTTACAAAATATCTATTCTCAGGAACACTTGGAAATATTTTCCTCAGGATAAACGGAGGAATATAGTTCAAGACTGAATCATGTGTACCCGAAAATTTTAACAAAAAAATATTTAGAGTCTTGCAGGAAAATAAAAAGGTACTCAATCACAGAAAACTTGGCACCTTGATATAGCGGTTGATATTTAAAATGGCTGATTTCATTCTGCCTTAATTTTAGGTTCTTAAGTACTACAAAAAACTGCTTGATACTGCATATCTCTAGCAAAGGACTTACCTCTTTTTGAAGTAAGAAAAACTGATGACCCAGCCTTTCAGTCGTAAAAAACGTCTGTAAGAAAAATTAAGGGTTGGAATTAAATTACACTTTTAGAGCGGGCTAGATTTTTTTAATTATTCTACCTATGGTACCTATGAACTGGTTTGCAAAATACATCATTTTTTTGATGCCCACCTCTTGCTACAGCATGCTGCATCATATGCATTTTGTCACCTATCCGAGTTTTCTCAACTGAAAGCACTGATAAAGATTTCTTCGGTCATTCCAATGCACTCAAAGAAATTAGATATAGGTACTTATAGTGCTATCAATGCAATTCAACACACAAGCATTCAATGCACATCAACATTTCAAGAGAAAAATTCAGCATTTATTTGAGCGGTTGAGGCGCACTTGGATATCATTCCTAAACTTTGAGATAGTTATTCCTCATATCTTAAAGATAGATTTTTGAAGAATTTCAGGGTAAATTAAAACTGAGAACCTCCCTCAGATTTCAGTTCGGTATTGAGGATCCGTGTTAGATATTTCAAAGAGATACCAGATTAGACTCTTTCGATAGACGTCTTTAAAATCTTGAGTCTCGTGTCATAGTAGTTGGACATCTATTTTCTTAACACCAAAAGTTTTCTTTTTAGTGTACGTTGAGATCTGAAAAACTACACTCTAGACAGGAACAGTAGATCCAACACCACGAAAAAAATCTGCAGGCAAGATAATACACTCCCTCTTTTTCTTTCTACCATTTAAAAAGACGCAAACGTTGGAAAACGGAAAAATTACCCACATACATACCACCCAATCACGGTTCCAGTCGTTGGGCTGCTTGTTGAAGCCACAGGAAGTATCGATGTGGAACCCGAATCGAGTGACATAGTCCATTTCGTCCTTTCGCCCAAGATTATGCAAATGCATTCTGGCAAGGTGGGTGCCCAATGTGTTCTGGTTTCTGCAAGATGACATGTCGATGTACTCCATGACTAGAGCCGAGTCGTTACCCTTTGGACTCTGCACCACGGTCTTCGGTTCAGGCACCCGGATCGTTCCTGTGCTAGCTATCTCCATCAGCCCAGCCATCTCTCCATCGAACACTTCTTTTGACTGTGCAGAACAGATCTATTACAACTCATGCCTCTTACATAAGATAGACAAGGCGATAGACATAAAATCTTTAGGTCTTGTTGAAATGATGGTTAGCTATGGCATGAACCTTATGAGCAGGATACAGGACACTATTCCTCAAGACGATTTGTCCCACAGTCCAGTTGTGGAAAGAGAGACTTGGGTCGAACTACATCAATCGGATAAAATAATCATGACACACTTTGAGGTAAAGTAAGGAAAAAACAGGATCATAGTTTCCAGGCGCCAATCTTGACAGGAAAAATTGAGTATGAAGCCGAAAGACTTTTTTTGTAAAAGAGAATCCATTTGTTCAACTTTTCATTTTGTTTCCAAAAGGCACTTCCCCAAGAAGGTTAGGCATTTTCAGTGACTTTTTGAAAAACTCATAAGTAAGTAAATGAGAAATTCACTTAAATGCTCATCAAAAGTGAAAATGTAGGAATGCACATCTTGCTTACAGTGTTCCAAACTCTCCTCTCCCATTTTATTTTACAGAAAGAAAACAAACTGACACTATTTCTTGAAATTTCCACCAATGGACCACTAGACAAGGTACGAATTTCAGCATACTGTTACATGTTTCTTAACTGAAATTTCACGTAGAATACGACGTGCAAAACGAAAATTACCGAAATCAACTCCTTCCAAAGATATTTAATGATTCTTTATGCGTGAATTCAAACCACCCGCTCATGAAAACTCAATACTCTGCGTGATTCACATCGTGCGCTAAACTTTATCATGACAGTCTCTGCGATATAAAAATCTGGCAACCTCAATCTTGACGCTTTGGCTCAGCTATAGCAAATTGCTCATAGTTTGAACAACACTTGGTAGGAAATGAACATTGCTCGATTGAGAGGCTTGCTGAAACCGTTGTAGTGCGCGATTTGACTCACGTAGAGCTTTGAGTTTCTTGTCAGCGGGCAGTTCAAATTCCTCGTAACCAATGTGAAATAAAAACGTTAATATTTTCGTTTGGAGTTAGTTTCATTAGTTTTCGTTGCGCAAATCGTGCTCTACGTGAAATTCTGGTTAAGAAACATGTATCAGAATGCTTAAATTCGTACCTTGTGTAGTATCTTGTGTAGTCGTACCTTAGCTGCAGAGAGACGCTGCGGAAAACGCCGATGGAGGACGCTCCGATCTGTCACCAAGAGATCGGAGCGGAGACGCCGAAAAAGTCTGCTCAGTGCGCTGCCTTTCCTACCGATTTTCGAATGTGTTTAGTTCGATAAACCCGCGAATCGATCACAAAAGCCATGAATTGATCGACAAAAGCTGTGAATCGATTAACAACCCTCGACTCACCCGTGAATCGATCGACAAACCAGTGAGTCAATCGACAAACCCGTGAATCGATTGGCCAAGCTGTGAGTCGATCGAATTACGTCGATTGGTTCACTTTTTGGTTTTTCGATCGATGTATGTCAATTGAATTGATACTGGTTTTTTTAAAAATTAACTCAATCATTTCTCGTCGATCGATTCAAGCTTTTATCCGATAGATTCTTGTCGTTCGAATCGACACCGTTTTTTTAATAATTTGTCCATCGAATCGGTGTTGATCGATTCACGTTTTTATTTTTCGGTCGATTCTTGTCCACCGAATCCATACCCTCTTGAAAAAGCGCGTCCAGCCATTTCCGCAGCTCAAAGCATACTGTCTGATCAACGAAAATTCGAGAAATTGACAGCGGACAGAGCGGAAAAAATCCACGAATTCCGCTCCTAAGGTGCCTTGCTCCAAAATGTGAGCGTCTTCTCGCCCGCGACTCGGTTGCAGAGTTTTCCGCCGGCATCCAGGACGCTGCGGACAGACGCGCCTAAGGTTCCGTGGCTTTTCTTTTTTCCTGTGGATTACTTCAGTAATTCAAATCATACCAATCATAACCCACTGTACAGATAATATGAAAGAAAATGGAGTGGTTCCAAATATCTGAACAAAATCTGAAAATAAGCACCAAATTTAGACTAACAAGTAGATGAAGAAATAAATTAATTACCAGCCATCGATCGTTAGTCTTCACATACACTAGACCATCATCAGTCTCGTAAACAGAACCTTCATTGATGCATCCACCTCCTGATGCGCCTGTCGGGTGGAAGGTGTTAGTGCCCAATGCTTTCTGTATTGCCTTCTGTAACTCCACTTTAGAGGGCATTGTGTTTGCAAAAACTGGAAAAAAGATAAACACTGTAGAGTGAGGTTGTCCGTATCAAATAAGACAAGTACCTACAGTCACTGAGTGCCTAAGCAGAGTTATCAATCTAATTGACAAATATCCAGATTTAGATGATAACATTATCAGCTTGTATTTTTGAATTATATAATTAACCGTCAGTAGGTACCCACCAAAACTGATGAGAGAAATGGGTGAGCAGAGCTTCCACATCTTCAGTCTTCAATAGTTCAATGATAAACTTAACTGGAGTCATACTTACATGAGAAGTATAGGTAACTGCATTACAAGGAATTTTTTTTTCAGAGAATTTTCGTGGTCATATTATTCACAAAACATGTTTGAAAGTGCATTCTATTTGCAGAAAAAATATGTTCTTGTAGGTTTTTCAAAACTTAGCGACAGACCAGACACAAATCATAACATAACCTTTAAAAATCCAATGTTGTCATTGGTCACATTCATTGGTGCCGTTCCAAAACACAACACACGCGCAATAACAATTGCCGCATAGCAAATTGAAGGCGAACTGAAAAGTACTGAAAACAAGTCCAGGCAATCTTAATTATGAATTGGACTACATTTTGCAATTCGGAACTAAAATTTCTTGCTCAATTTAGAAACAACGTAGGTAACTTTAGTTTCCCTACATGCGTGAGGGTTTTAACGGATGAGCCAGATATATTGTATTTCTTAATTGCATAAAATTTCTTGCTCAATTTAGAAACAACGTAGGTAACTTTAGTTTCCCTACATGCGTGAGGGTTTTAACGGATGAGCCAGATATTGTATTTCTTAATTGCAAAGTGTAGTCCAATTCATCTTTAGACAGAACTAGCTAAGCTAGCTGTTCGTTTTTCAGTCTTCTAACCTTCTTGTTTTTTTTATCAACGATGAAACCCTTAAAAGCAACAAACGAACGGTAATATTTCTTAGCAATAAAACATCGATCGCAAAATATCAAAGTATCTTGAAATTCTGGGNGGGGGGGGGGGGGGGCGGCACTAGGCTGAATGTAGCTTTTATTGCGAAATATTGATACTCCTCTTTTCTTTTATTCATTATAGGTACGAATCAGCAGCCCGCACCCCACAGGAACTTATCTCAGCAATGAACATTGCCGATTTTATATAGATCCAGATCCTTGTTTTTATTTCTATTTGGCCAATTTTTGGCCAAGAAAGTTTTAGCCAGCTCATAAAAACTATTACAGCATCGTTTCCGGTGTGGTTCACGGTGGTGTTTCCGGTTTTGGCGTATCCGTTTCCGGTGTTTTCTCGCTGCAGTGCTGCCAAGTGATTTATTATTATTGATTGTTTTGTTTCCCGCCCTAACCTAACTTACCTAACTATTCCAAATCCAAATGTGTTGTCTATGAGAGACTCTCGTACTCTAGTTTACAGTGTCATGTCTTTGAGTTTACTTACTGAAATCATTGACTCCAGTTTTATTTCACTTTATGTAGTTTGCATGATTCAGTGTTTCAACTGAAAACACCCTTGTCCTGCCGCCCAATCAGTAGGTATTTAGTTGCTCAGTAGATGTTGTGCCAAATCTGTGGTCTGCCTTTTCTAGTGAAGCAGGAAACATCTTGTCTCTAATCTAGCATTAAAATTGAAGGCTTGCCTCACTAACTCGCTCTTTCTGCTTCCAGTTAACCCAACACATTGTCTATGGCATCGTTTCCTCCCTGCCTTCCTGTGATGATGACAAGGCCTCCTCTGGCCACCTCCGTCGGTTCAACCAATCTGAAACGGAAACATGGTTACCCACCACTATCACCAAATCAATTCAACCTCTCAAGGAAGCATCTTCCAGGTAATTGAATTGTTAAAATGGAATGATGCATGATGAGTGGAAATTCAAAACCCAGTGGGCCTAAATGGATCAAATTAAATTAAATTTTTATGAGGACCTTTTCTCTAAATTTGGTACAATAGAAGCTGTTACCCGATCATAGTAAGACCTACTAGCACTCACCGGGTTTTGAATTTCCCCTTTTTATGTAATAAGAAAAAACATCTATTGTGTTGCCAGGATCTGTAATCGGAATGGGAAAACTCCTTTTGACTTGCTCGTTTCCACACCACCTTAGGAAAGCCTGATCATGCAGAGATACGGTGCTGCTCCTGGAGGTAGAGCCTTCGGCGCGTTTTTTTTAATGTGGTATCGCCAAGAGCCCTAATCCACAGAGAAGGGGAGGGAAACTAAAATAAAACACTTACCAACGGTGACGCAGCCCCATCTGACCTTCCTCCATGCCTGCAGAAGACGAAAGTAGTGCCCTCTACAACTGATTATCAAGGAGATTTAAAATGGTATCTTACCTTTGGTTGCGGGAACAGCAGCAGCACCTGGAAAAAAAAAAAAAANAAAAAAAAAAAAAAAAAAAAAAAAAAAAAAAAAAATTTGACGATCCCGGTACGACGATCCTGGTACGATGATCCCGGTACGACGATCCTGGTACGACAATCCTGGTACGCTGGCGGCCTCCCCCAACCCTGGCTTCCGGCTTCCAGGTTCCTTGCCCGCCTCCTCCCTTTTTTTTTTTTTTTTTTTTTTTTTTTTTTTTTTTTTTTTTT